CGTAGGCTTACTCGCCTATTTCGAGTGCCGCACGGGGCCCCAACGATTACCCCCGTGACAGAAGGGCAGTTGGAGAACCCTTCAACCAGGCAACGCTCGTGTGTGGCGGACAGCGAGCAGTTGCCATGGGCGTCCCAATCGCAATCTTGGCAAAAAACGAGATGATCGGTGGAGCAGCGGACAGAGACGGGTTGGGAAGAGCAATTATCGCAAATCTGAGAACGGAGGTGCTTACGGGATAAGGCGTTAGCAGAGTGAACATGTTGGTCGCAGAACAAGCACAGCTTAGCAGAGTCAGCTCTGCAGTATAGAACAGTGATCTCTTCATTGCAGAAATCACAAAGGATGATGCTCTGCGTGGCTCTTGACTTGTTATTGGTTTTGATCCATTATTAACAAATGGAAAGGAAATAGAAAAGGGAAAAAATAGGGAAAAATAAGAAATCGTGTAGAGTTAAACCATAAAKAAGGAAACGAAAAATCCTAACAGTCTCAGCGGAGCAAGGAATCTAATCTTGGCTGTGGGAGGAAAGTGTTTGTTAATGGAGTATGAAGAGAAGCGAGCCGAAATCCCTAAACAGAACAGAGCATGGAGATATTTATTTGGAGACTTCAAATAAAAACCCCCTGTTACCATTAGCCGCTGCAACGAGTTGTGGCGGCTATGGCCGAGAGGAACGGAAAACAGAGGGATTACTGCCACTGCTGTTCGTGTCGTGAGGTTGGGGAAGATGAACAGTTACAAGGGTAGTATGGGGATTAAAAAATATTATAAAGGCGGATTTCAACGGAAAGCTAACGGAAGGGGGTCTTTGTCTCATAGTCATAGTACCGGGGGGGTCTTTGTTGCAAAACAAAGTACGGGGGGGTCTTTGTCATAGACCCCATAGTACAGGGGGTCTTTGTAATTTACCCTTAAATAATTATAAAAAAACTAAAGAGAATAATCAGTTTGCAGATTTAGATATAAGGCTAAAAGGATCCACTATGAAAAACCAACCCCTAATTTTCACTAGCTTCTTAGCCTTTAAATTATTTCTTTATCAAAATGTATATGCTTTATTCATTTAACAAATCTTACCATAAGTAACTTTGTAAAGATAACAAATCTAAGTAAAATCATGGTATCAGCATGAATGATGCTTCTAACCATATGTGTATATGGCATCTCATATCAGTGTTTGTACCTATGATATCTGGATACCTGTACAAGGGTTCTATATTTTATGAGATAACTTCAATTTTTTTTTGTGTAAATTTCATATTGGGTGCCATTCCCAGCTGTGTCCTTGCTGTATCCAGGTAAAATTGGTTTGTACTGGTTTTATAGTTGGACTTTGGGAGCTAGTAACTTATATCTATGTACGTGGGTAATATTTAGTTACTACCATTTTTGGGCATGAGAATTCCCTAAAAGTCAAAACATCAGTTTTAATGGAAATGTTATTTGATAATGAGGACAGACCTGGGTTGGGTATTTGCTAAAATTTAAAGGGGCCTACTTTATAAAAAAAGGGGTCTAGTCTGAGGGCCTGGTCCTGATACAGTGGAAATTCTTGAAGTAGGGTAGCTATTTTACATCCCTAGTCAAAATGAGGTAAAATTGTGGAAAGATTGGAAACATTGTGACGTGAACAAAATGAAAATTTAGAAGGGTGGTAATTTGGTTGCACCAAATTGTTGGTCTAATGCACTCCAGTAAAGATGAAGTAACTCTTTGTATAAATGGGGTTGTCCTCTCTCTCTCTCTCTCTCTCTCTCTCTCTCTCTCTCTCTGTAGGGGTGGCTCTGTTTATTAGTAGGATGCGCATGAATTAACACCTTCAGAAAAAGATAAAAAAGTTTTGATAAATGCATAAATCTAAAAGGCAAAGTGTAAGATGGCATATCGACTGATGGTTGGAGCACCATGCTTAACATTATGGTGGTTGTAGGTCCTAGTCCTATATGAATTATATTGTTGTTTATGATGGAAAACAGTGTAATCATATTTTCTGTTCCAATAGTAACTATATGTACAAATATCAATGAAGGAACAAAGAGATCCAAATATGCACAAGGGCCTGTCACCAATTCACCATTCCAACACTCCTTTCAAAAATAGATAAAGATTCTTATCACCTGGTCTGAATGCTATAGGTTAATAAAATCAATTCTTTTCTGCATGATGCCTTTCTGAACACAGAAAGCATATAGACATTAACAGGTTGTGACTCTAATCCATTTCTGTGTCACTATATTTTCTGCAAAAGAACTAGCACCACAGTCTATGTTACCTGGATATAGCAAGTACATGGCTGGATATGGCATCAAATATGAAATTTACACTAAAAATTTTAGTATCTGACATGATACAACACTCTTGTACGGCATTCAGGTATCGGATACTACAGTTTGTCTTCCACCACAAACCTCCAGAGCCATTTCCTCGACAAGGCTTTGTTTATGAGGGAAATAGGTCGTAGTCTTAACCCTCTTTCCTTGGCAGTAGGCACTTTTCAGACCACCGAATGATACTTATTATGTCATTTGGGTCATCTCATAAAAAGTTCAAGGTTATTTAATATTGATAAAGAGGAGATATTTTGAAGTGAATATAATCTGTCCTATTATCTAAGAGAGAGGTTGAGGGAAAATACAAAGCGATAATGTCAGTGGATCATTTCTTAGCGTGATTAAACATATGGTAGATTCTTTAAGGGGGATTACTTCTGTAGGTATATATTCATGTAAAAGGTGATCCAGAAAGTTGAGATCCTTGTAAGTGTAGCATATGAATTGATGCCGATATTATATTTCCTCCATGACCATATTAAGCTATGATCATCAATCAAATCGACATGATACCTTAACAGGAGACTATCAGATCTCATACACTTGTTGTCTGTGTCTTTCCTTTTTCCTTTTTCTATTTAACTTTTTATTGGTGCACCTGCAGTTTTATGCACCCCCTCTCTTTTTCTGAGCCCATTCTGAGTTGTGCTACCTCTCATATTTAGGCTATACGGACCGGGTGGATCCATCCAAACATCAATCTTGAAAACCCTGACAAAGGCATTGTATGCTCTCTCCTTATACCTTGTTGCTTTATGTAACAGTTATAATTATGTGCTACAGAGACTGTTTCTTGCCAATTGCCGTATGTCTATTATTTCGGTTCATATTTTCATTTATTTATTTTACTTGCGTATACCAGCCTCTGCAGTTATAAGTGAATAAATCATAAGCCACTATAAACAGAAGGTGAATTCCAAGCGAAATTGTCATGAAGCTTAGTCAGTTTGAATCTTCATGTTGGTCTTAACTGCCAGTAATTTATCATTCTAACCTTAGATTTCATTATTCCAATTCTTTTGGGTTCATGTGATCCAGAGGAAAATGTCACTGGCTCAGTTCAGCTAAGTATATGGTCAGCGTTTCTTTTGGGTTCATGTGATCCAAAGGAAAATGTCATTGGCCCAGTTCAGCAAAGTATTAGGTCAGTGTCTAGTTCAAGTTGCATGTCTAGTTCAGAACGATGTAAAACACACTGCTGGTGGCTAGAAGTATTGTTGTCTGTAGACCATATCACATTGGAAGAAATCTAACGTTGGAGACTTGTGCAATCAGGACACTAATGTGCTAGTTGGCCCGAAGAAGGAAAGGCTGGACATAAAGGTGGCTCTGTCTAATTCCTTTGGATTCGGAGGCCACAACTCATCAATTTTATTTGCTCGTTACAGGTAATCTGGTGAGAAAATCCAACCTTTATTTGGGGGTAAAGGTATTTGTTGTTGGATTGTTTTGATGTGTTCATTTTTTTTTTTTTTTCGAGGACGGAAGCATGTCAAAGTGTCTGTGTTGTAGTGGGAGGCCCCAGAGGTCTCTTGAGCTCTTGCCTTTTATCTCAACTCAAGGGTAAAAGTATGCCCCTTGGTTTGATAAATTTCTGTACTACAAGGATAGAAGCTACTTATTAATCATAATTTCTTTGGGTTCTTAAAGGACAAACGGGGAAGAAAAATTCTTTGTACAAAATATTTTTGAGAAATCTGTCGTAGTTTCAGATTTAGGTTTACTTGGGATGTAAATTTAGAGGCTGTATGCCACTGGAAACGTGTAGTTCTCACCTGTCTAGGCCCCCTGGACCAACAGATTGGTGAGCCGTCTTCAACGAGATCGGCTTCGGTGTTCACAAGATCGTGATCATACCGTTGGCACAACCTTACTGTGAGCACTGAAACTGATTTTGTCATATACTGTGGTAGCACAGTGATTTGATTGATCAGATGACCCTACCTACTTGTCTCATTGATCGTTGAAACACTTAGTTTGTTGTGCAAAGTAAGAGCACTGTCTCGGTGAATGACGGTAAATGCAATGCGAGTGTTTTGCTTGTTACCGACCACTGACTGATTGATTTGGTTTGATAAATTTCTACACGCAGAAACCTTGCATCCTGGACAGGAGAAATTGTTTTGGTTTTTTTGGCTCTCATTTCCGTTGAGTAATAATAATTTGTGAAAATGAAATATCAAATAATATCCTTTGTACATACATCTCATCTCAGTGAACTGTTACTTTCCGCCTGCCTTCTCCTTGAACCCTTGGACACATCGAAGGCACGTCACTCCTATTTCTTTCTCTACACCATCAAAATAGGCTGTTGGTTGTTGGTACCCCCCACTGGGTGTTCCTTTCTCTTTCGGCAACAAGGATTCCTCTTCAAACTTACTGGTTGATCAATTGTACACATAAGAATGTGAAAGATACTACATCTCTCGTTATTTTAAGAGCTTTGTCTGAGGTTGATCGTGTAGCGGGGGGGGGNGGGGGTGTGCTCACCATTTTATTTTTTTTGGCTCCATCCATGGGGTTTCACAACGGGGAGTAACCCATCCCCCAAACCAACCAGTTGGCATTGGTCACCACGATTTGATGAAAAAAAGAAAAAACCATTATTTGGGAGGTGGGGTTTTAAGATACTGATTAATTGATAAAGCGAAATTCTCACAACACTATGACTTGAGTAACCGTTCCATGATATTGATAATTGATGATTAGGATTAGGCAGGCACAATGTTGTAAGCATGTTCAATCAGCATTTAAAATTTTTTTTGATACCTATCCCATAAAATACCCCTAACCTAATCACCTTTAACAGTTATCATAATATTTATCAAGTGTTCATTCAACGTGATTACTATAGTGTGCCTATTAGATTTGGTCCGGCTAGTTTCTGGAGTGGGGCCAAACTTGGCTCGGTAGACGGTCACGGCATGCTCACCTTGCTAAAGGCAGGCAAGTGATCCCGGAGTTGAATTGGGGTTGTAGTTATCAAACTCTAATCACTGCAACCTCAAATCAAGTGGTCCAATAATTCAGACCTGAAGACATCATCATGATTCATACGAGGAAAATCCTTGCTTATTCCACTATTCAGCAGCTTCTTTTTAAAATTTGCTRTTCTCAAATGAAAATTGATGCAAACCTTTTTTTAGGATATGCAGTGGTACGTTTTTTTTTTTTTGTTTTCTTTCTTTCTTTTAATTTGTTTTGTATGTTCATTTGCATGGGTCACATTGATTTTTAAGATAGATGAGGCTGGTGTATTAAGAGAATTTTTTCAACGGTGGGCCCGAAACTTGTGCCCATGGGACCCATTAATTGCAATGGATAGAAAACACTTTTGCACTGCTGTTGCTGTTTAAATACTAGATATGGTCCATATGGAAGGAGATTTCTGAAATTTCTTTATATTTTAAATTTCAAAATATAGTTATGTATAATGCCACTACATATATTTAACAAATTCATTTTCTATATTATGTTGGTTATTAAAGATGTTAATCAAGTGTCGAATCAATTTAGATCAGTGACTTTATCTTCTTTTAAATGAGTGCGGATCTCCTGCCCACGAGAATTCTGTTCACGTTTATCACAGCCACACATAGAAAACATCTCATCTTCTGCATAGTATTATGCAGGGGGTGATGTTCCCAATTCACGGGGGGTAATATATTATGGGTAGGTGTGGGCAGGAGATCCAGGATCCTTTTAAATAAATATTTTTTCTTCAAAATGAGGTTTTAATTTAGAAAAAAAGAACTCGGAAACCCATCTCTATCAAGAATTGGGCTGGACTGGTGGAGGTTGATTTTTCTAGGATTGAGGTCGGGGATAAGGAGTTACTTACAAATCTGAATAGGGAGGGATGAGGAGTATCGGTAGTATCCAGTATGGTCCCCACCTCGAACACATCACGTTGCCATTCCTACATATAAGGTGGTGCTGTTTTTCAAATTAAAAGCAACTGTCACATCCGCTTTGGGCATTAGGCTTCAAAATATGCCAGAAAAAGAGGCCCGGTTCAAGAAATCATAAAGAAGTCTTGGAACCGCGGTCTTTCCTCGAATTTGGTTATGGTTAAAATTTTTGCCGGGAAAATCCGAATGATATGCTTATTGCCCTAATACATAAATAATACACAAAATCTCAAGTTGCCAGTGAGTGTGAATAATAATATACTATATACCTCAATTGTAATCTGTTTGTTTAACTAACCTTCAACCCTCATGAGTCACGAGGCTTGGAGAATGCCTGGACATACATATACATATTTGGGCCGAGAGCCCACCCCAAGCTTGGGTGGGGTCGTATGTAAGAGGTAAGAAACCCACTATCGATCTACAGCTATATATTAGTCTATTAGATCTTACATACAGTGAGGACTGAGGACGGGGTCCACAACTGACAACCATCCAACTAGATTATTATATGGCTGTCGGCTGCAAAGGGTCCCCCGTCCCCCTCCTTTCTTCGCCTACGGTGTCCTTGCTTCATCATGTCGGATTGTCGGTGCTGCATTGCATTTCATGATTTCGTATAATGAATGCCGCTACACTTGATCATCCAAAATCTTACCCAATTTGAAGTGGAACAACATTAACCAACTCATTGTCATTACATTACATTGTCTAATGCCTATCTATTGTTTCTCTATAACCCAATTTCTATATAATATTTATATAAACACAATCGAAAAAACACACTCACAGACTCAGCTATTTTATCTGTCATATACTTATGATTGAAATCTCAACCGTGCTTTTCAGGGATCAAAGGCAGCCTGAGCCCGTCCATGAGACTCATCAAGACGATTGATAAAGTAGAGCGCGTTACTCGTAACCCTAGCTACGTTGTTAATCTTCCGCCTCACAGCCAACTTCACCTTCCCATCAACCTTCTCAAACCCATCAAGACAGGTATCCTCGTTGGTCAAGGCAGCACTAACCCACGTCTCCGCATTGCTCATCTGCCACCTGAACGACCCACGTCTGAGATGCCGGAGCTCCGCAAGCGTCTCGCGCAATTCGTCCACTGAGTCCGACAGCTGCTCCACACAATCGCGCAGTGCGCCTTGCTGCCTCTTGCTCCCGCCGTGGAGCTTGGCGAGGCGGGCGATGCAGCCGGAGACGGCCCGAGCGCGGGAGAGACTAACGGTTACGGCCGCTCGTGCGAGGTCGTTGGCAGTCCTGGTGGAGCCGGTGTAGGAGGAGAGCGTGCGGAGGCAGAGGTTTGGATAGCTGGCGTGGATGCATGACGAACGAACTAGATCTCCCGGTGTGCCGGATCTTGATGCGGCGGTAGTGCAGCGTGCTGAGTGGGAGAGAGAAAGGAAGAGAATGAAAAAGGCGAAGAGGGACGGAAGGAGCGCCATTCCTAGCTGAAGCCTGAGCCCTGAGGATTGATTGGCTGAACGCTTGAAAAGAGCAGCAGGAAGAGAAAAGAGGACTAGACGAGTACAGGTGTGGGAGCTGCAATGTGACTTGAGGAGGGTTTAGGGTTGGTATTTTATTGTAAATTTTTAAGTGGAGGGTGCGTAGGATAAGTGGAGTTGCATTTGCCCCAAATTATGCATGCAATTACGCCTGTGCCATTTCTTTTGTTGTCTTGCACACGAGTCTTGTTCTGCTACGGTCTACGAAAAAGGTATGGTACCAATAGCCAATCAACGAGTATTTATCTTCGAATTTCACGTGCTCTCTCTCTCTCTCTGTACCACAAAAATTGCCCTCTTGCCGGCACATTGCTTTTGTCAAATGACGGATACGCCCACTATAATAGAGATTGGTAGGATAGATTTTGTTTTATTCTTTGTTATCTAGAAGGGTAAAATTATTTGCAATTTTGCAGACCAAAAAGGCAAAAGTATGATCTGGTTAGGGTTACAAATGGGTTTGATTTAATATAATATAATCAGAATTGGAATTCGATTTGCTTGGATTTGAATATTTGTTTAGTCATGAACTCATGATCAAATCAATCCGTTGTGGAATATGATCCAATCTGCTAGGATCTAATTCGATCCATATATATATATATATATATACATAAAATATTCTTTTTAGTATTAAAATTAATTAAAATTATATTGAATTTGGTATTTAGGTGAATTATACATTTTTTGTTTTGTATTAAATTTTATAAAATTATATTATTTTGCATAAATTTATTAATATATTAATTGAATTAAATTTGGATTATATATTTAGATATTTGAATCTATGTTTTACACATCCATAGCACATCAAATCAAATTAAATCCATTATTGGATCCAATTCGGATATTACCCCTATTCCTAATTCAATCCATTCAATATGAAAATCTAACTCTTATTAGCAAACCAACTTGCATGTTTTTTTGGCCAAGTATATGTCACAATAGTAATGTAAATTTGGGCAATTATATAGAAGATCTTCACTTTAATTATATTCGGAGAAGGGCTACCCTGTAGTATGTACAAATAAAGAATTTGCTAATAAACAAACAAAGTTAGGCACATCACAATTTTGTATCATATGTCACGTATGCGAATTAAAACAAATAAATAAAAAATGTAATGTTTATATGTGAAATATTCTCATTGTTGAGGACAAAGGTGGCGCAATTGGTGATGCATCTAGCGTTGTTTTGTTACTATCAGAACCTGACTTATCGTGCAACCCCGTTTTTCCTTTTACGTATCAAGTAAAAACCAACTGAAGCTATTATTTCCTTTTAATAATAATAAAAAAAAAAAACTTACTTTGAGTAAGAAAAAATGGCTACATTCATCCGGGTTTAGCCTTGTTCAGAAAACCAGCTGAAGAAGCTATTAGTTTCCTTCCCTTTGTAACAAGCTGAAGCTATTAATTGTATGAAACTGGAAGCTATAGTAATTTAGTAAAAATGTAGATTATTAAGAGCGTATATATTTAAATAGAATTGAATTGGATTATATAGGAGCAGATGCATATTTCAGATCCAATTATAAAAAGATAGGATTCAGAGCACCCTTAATAGGATCGGACTCGAATTCAAATTTGGATCATTATATACCATTTGCAGCTAGCAGCCCTATTAGACCTCAATCCTTCTAAGAACACTTACCCACAAAGCATTTCAGTTGTATATTGAGATCTTCTCATGAAAAATAATATGTAAATACATAGAGATCCGAACTCCCTGATAAAAGGCATGATTTGATTCCAGATTGCCAGGACCAATTAGAGACTTTTACCGGCGGCAGAAATGCGTTTAATTGGACGAATGTTACAAAGCATTTTGTCTTTGCCCGCCGCGTTTATTTTAATGAATGCCGTAAGGGTGGTTTACCAAAAAAACAAAAGAACGCCCTAAGGAGGTTAGCAAACTGCAGTTAATGCTTTTTTGAACCTCAGTAGTGGGAATAACAAACCACTTGGTTAGCCCAACTCCTGTTTAACCTGAACTGTTATTATTATTTATATTAGGTGGAGTGGGGAATGGATACTTATCTAACCTTCCGGATCTTCTACATACAACTAACCAGCTGTCAAACTCAATCGGAGTTAAAACGAAGATAGGTCATAGTCTTATCTAACGTTAATTAATGTGGATAAGGTTCATTGGGCATTATTAGCTCCACCCTAGAGGTGGACTGAACTATAAAAACCCCTATTATAAAAAGATAATGGGCCCTATATGTCTGAAAGATATGACTCGCGTACAGAAAAAGTAACCATAGTGCATGAGATATTCCTGTGCGTGTCTGTATAAATTTGTTAAAATAATTTTATGGTCTAGTTAATTGATTATGACTATAGTATATATTTGGTTTTGTTTATATTTATTAAGTAAATATTTATTAACAGTGTCACATAGGCGTTATATCAGCAAATGCCTCATAAATTATATTTGTGTGTATACCGAAGTTTCATTTTGGAGTTATTGACAGTGCCTCTCCCATTTCAGGAAGTTTCATTTTGAAGCTTCCTGAAACGGTTTATTAGCATTTTGCCGATGTGGTGGGCACCTATATATCATAATTGTCATCATTAAATGTATTTCTCAGTTTTATGATCATATAAATATAAAATGTTTATTAAATAAATGTAAACTTAACCAAACACCCTCTTACTAATATTGTTAAACAACATGGACGGAAAATTTAAACTACTGTTTCTGACAATTGTTTAAGTCTTACCAGTGTTGTTAAACATGGATGGAAAATTTAAAATGTTTGTTTTACCCTTTAAATGTCCATTTTCATCAGTGTTCACCAACTCATCTTTGGTCTCCCCCATCCAAAATCTGCCTCATATATCCCCAGCCATGGTGACTAGTCCAAATCTTCCCCTTAACCCCAGAAGACAGCAAGCGTGAAACCCAACCCAAGTCTTCCCCTCAACCCTCGTATGCCTGATTTATACATGTGAGAGACAATCAGAGCAGTGGATGAGGAGGCCTCTATAGCAGCGGAGTCGCTGATGGGGTTATGGTACGGAAAGAGAGAGAGATGGGGCATCGCCGGTAGGTGGTCGCCCATAGGGTCGGTTGATGTTGTCGGTGAACAGTGATGGTTGAATGGAATGCCAGATCTGCTGAGAGAGTTAAACGCCGAGATCTGAGAGAGTTAAATGCTGAGAGCAGAACTGATTGTTTTGCACCTCGAGAAATTAGGGAGCTTTGTACCTCYGTTCTCTCATTTCTCTCTGGTTAGTCACCGCCGTTGCAACTTGCAGCGGCGGATTTAAATGCCTGAAGATGAGTACATGAAGGGACTCAGTACCGGATCCACCGGCAAGGCCGGTAGTGAAGGAAGATGAGTACAAGAAGGGACTCAGTACTAGCTCCACATGGACTGGAAATCCCTCCTGTAGACATGGATGTTGGCTCCCGAACTCCTCTCCCCTGAACTGAAGAAGCAAGGAGAGAAATAGAGATCCAACATTGAGAGAGTTAGTATTGTCCTTATTAGATTTGACCAACCAATAAACTAAATTAGAAGAAAATTAGATTTGAGAAGACTGTTTAGAGGAATCAGGTTCGATTGCTGAGAAGAAAAGGTGATTGAGTGTGGATCAGGTGAAGGCTTCGGAGAAAATTTTGGGAGTTGAAAATGTTRGCGTATTATCTCCTTCCTTCTAGGAGATAGCTGTACATATCTTCTCTTCTCCTTTCTTTATTGTATCCTCTTTAGGTCACCGACCTTGTCTCCCTATTGTATTCCTATTATAAATAGAGTTGTAGCCTATTGAATAAACACATTAAAGAGAAAGATCTTCATTCATCCTTCTTGGTTCCTATCATGGTATCAGAGCCTGTGATACTTTATCGGATTCGTCCCTCCACTTGAGCTTCGCCGGTGCCCTCTCATAAGTCCACATTGTCGTTGCACCGATTATCGTTGCACCTTGGGTTGAAGGCTAGCTATCTCGCATAACCGCCCGTCGTGCACATCGTCCTGTATACGACTCCTGGTGCACGTAGAAGACTGAGATTCTTCTCTGTTTCTTCTTCTTCAAGCCCAAAAGTAGAAGCAGGGTAATCTGGAGGTTGCCATCTGGTGCACGGAAGCTTGTCGATCCAGTTGCGACTTCGCAAGGGTCTTCCTGCTCCGCCGCCCGGTACAGAGGTAAACAGAGAATTCGACGGAACCGACGACTGAAGCTTGGATCCTCCGTCTTCCAAGTCTGCGACCAGAGCGACGGAACCGACGACTCCTTTGCTCCGATTGGCTGCGGATCCTCTGTCCTCCGTCTTCCAAGTCTGCGACCAGACCAACTGCTCTGCTCCGATTGGCTGCAAGCTTGGATCCTCTGCGACTAGACCAACGACCGGCGAACGAGATCTTACCGGAAGCAGGGTCATCGAGGTAGATATCGCAGAGGGTGACCCAACCCGAGTCAGGAGCTCCTTACTCTTGACACCGACCAGCTTCTTCATCTGGTGGTTCTCCACGAAGGCGATAATGTGCTGCGTTCTTCCTCCTTAAGCCAGACGAACCCGGCTTCTCTGTTGCAGTCCACCTTCTCCGTGCTGCCAGCGGCAACAGACTCGGGGCAATAACAACCCCAGGTTGGCTGCAACACAAGCCTGACCCGAACAAGAAGTCACTCATCAGTGGGTCTCGTAGTAAGCCTCTGTTTTAGAAAACAGTGGGATCTGAACCGACCCAGGCATTAAGCGTAAGACCCCAGGCAGCGACATCCATCGATTTCTTCCTGCAGAGAGCATCTCCGTCTTCTCTCTGTAATTCTCAATCGCTTTTACTGTTGCCTTGTTCCTTTTTTTTTCCGTGATTTGCGTTGCTCCAGAGTTTTGTGTTTTTCCTCATGGATTCTTCTGAAGCTGCTCAACATATCTCTCATCCCATCACTGTTACCTTCGATGGCTCAAATTATGATTTATGGTCCCAGGAGATGTGCAGTTTTCTCAAGGGACGTCTTCTATGGCGATATGTGACAGGTGAGATTCCCAAACCTACTAAAATTGCTGATGAAACAGAGTATAAATTTGCTGAACGAGTAGAAAAATGGGACAGAAAAAAATCATCAAATATTGACCTGGTTTTGCAATACTTGTATTGCAAGCATCAAGTTGGAATTTCGCAGATATGACTCTCCTAAAGAGGTATGGGATTTCTTACAAGTTCGTTATTCTATTTCTGATGA